GACAGTGTGGGGAGTCCAGGCTGCAGGATATGGGCGCACCGCTGGAGAGTCTCTGAAATAGGTCACTACCCTGTTTGAACTCGTGCAATTTTTCACTATTGTAGCTGCGCACTCAGAGCAACGTGGACACACATGACAAAAGAAACGACATAAAGGACTGACATGCATTATAGGGTACGCTCCTTGCTTACCTTACAGTGAAAATACCGTGGAAATGCCCGAGATATCTCCGACTTGGCCCCCCTCTTCCCGGTGCAAACTTCGCACGCAAAGTCCTATGGCTCAAGCAGCGTCGGTGTCAAATGACTCCTCGTCAATGTGTCGCTTTTTCCTTCGGTAAACACGAAAGTATAGAGCTGATACGTCTTGAAAAAATATGTCTAGGTGTCTGTAGAGGCGGTCCGTTCCAAGACCATTGTCAGGTTAGATTTTTAAGCATGGGGAAAAAATATACATAAGCTCAAACGCAGCGTATGTGACAGCTGGTTGTTCAAATACAGACTAATATATGGAATGACAGTCTTGTCTGTTGCCGTGGAATGATCTATTCTTCATGTTATCAAGCCACTGGAAACCCGTCAAAAAGTGTAAACACCCAAATCCGTAACCTTAAGTGTTCCCGCTGAGGAAAAAAAAATGAAGCCACTGGTTGTGTTGTGCATCAAAAACGGATAGGGGATTTCTTCTTAAATTCAAAGCGCATCGCTTGATGGCAACGCTGGTCAAGTGGGGGGTTCCTGTGGATGGACGTGGTCCTCCTGACGGGGTGGGAGGGCAGATCAGACCAGAGGGATGGCACGAAGTGGTGGGTAGGGTAGGGCGGGTTGGCGACGGGGTATGGGGTAAAGGGGGAGGATCGTCTCCTTCTTCGGTGCTTTTCCAGATGTCGAGGTGGGGCTATAATGTGTCTGTCCTTTCCTCGCAGTTATCCTCGCGTCTCTTCTGCTTTTTATTTTTATTTGAATTGTCTCTAAGCACTCCAGGAGACGCTGAGTGTTGGTGGTAGTCTCCCCCAAGACCGTCTGAAGCGCACAGCCATCCGCCCGGAGCCCAGCCAGCCCGTCAGGACCAGCCCAGAGTCTGCCAGCTCAGCGCATGCTTACTGCTCCGCCCCCCCACCATGGGCAGTCCCCGGCGCCTCTCCAAACTGTCCCTCTCTCTCCGTTCTCATGTCTCCGCCTCAGCTCCCCTCCATCAACCGGCGTTGGATAAGGGTAACACCCCTATATACTTCACTGTCTGTTGTCTCCTACAGAGTGTAGACATCTCTGTCCATGGCTACCACCTCTGGGTAACCAACCAAACAGTGTTACATAATGAAAAAGTTTGAAACTACAGACAGCCAGTTATTTTACTCTAACACTAATGTATAAATCCACCCACACACAATACAACAGTTGGAGCAATATGTGCAACAAAAAAATACATAATAAAGATGGAGAAACAAAAATCTGAAAAAATACAAAATCCCTGTCACTTACAGAATATAGGCCTACAGTATTTTATATTATACATGTGACCTATTTTGTGCATCTTTCTAGAGTACAAGTTTAACATCTAAATCAGACAAAAATGAAGGCCTATATACATATGTATTTGCATAGTGAATACGAAGTTAAATTACTTTTTTTGCCATTTTTTGTTACCTATTGACTCTACAAACAATTTTGGGACATAAAAGGATAGGGTTTCTATTTAATTACCATTGATTCTCAAAAGGGATTTATTTGTGTTCTGCTCTGGGAAATAGAGGATATGCCCAGTGTTTAGACCAGTATTTGTTCCGCGTAAAATATGCAAGTTAATGACTGTTTAAGTTGTTTAGATTGTACAATGCTGATGTTACAAAGCCCTGGAATAGACAAGGGGCCCATTTTTTTTAGACTAGTGCTCAAGTCAGTGAAACTGTCCAAAAAGATGTAAGTTAAAAAAAATAAAATCAAGTGGGATAATGAATTATATTTGAACTTCTTTTTCTTAGTAGCTTTAGTTAAACAGCCTGATGTAGCTTAGCTGCAGTTACAAACTAATTTAATAATTTAATTTATTTTAAAGTCTGTTTGTTGTTCAAATATCTCGTTGATCATGTCTACTCAAGTTGGATTTTTGTTATTGTTCCTTTTTTCTAATGCAGATTTTCTATGAACACTTCTTCATGTTTTAATGTTGTTTTGTGTTTGATGGATGCAGGAACTAATGTAGCTGACTAAATAAAGACATCCACACAAGTGAGTTAATAGAGTGAATACCAATTATTAGTAAAAGCCATTTTTTAACAGAACTTAAAGGAAATCATTTATATATGGAATGTACTTATATAGCTACCATGTTGACCTAAGAGTTATTGAATACAGATGTTGATGTTTTGTCCACCCTGGGACATCCAGAGTTTCAGTGATGCTGGCATGCAAAAATGTGCACCAGGATCCCCTTTGACTTTTCACCCTGCCACCACTAGAGGGCCTAAAGCAGCCTGGGATAAGATTTGTATAAATCTAGGAGGCCTTAGAGATGTTATGGAATAAGAATTGATATGCCAAGCCCTATTTTTTCATTTGAACAAGTCATAATTTTCTGCCCATTTAATATTAATTAAATAATGATCAAGTCCATTAGTGAATGTTCATGCAAAAAAAAAATCAGGATCTCTTAATGCACTTGAAAGCAATATTTAAGCCCTAAATGTCACTTATAATTCCAACAGCTCAGGTTTGATTTATGTGTATGTGTTTTGGAAATTAAGTAAATGGTGAAACATTTGCCAGAGCCAATTTAGTTGCCCCGGATAAGAACAATACATTCAAAAATATTGCTGTAGTTTGATGTTAATGTTTCATGTATTCATTTCAAGTTTTAAGGGTTTTATATTTTAGTTCACTATTATGGATTGATTGCATTCAGCACATGCATGTTGGTATTACATGTGATACTCATCCGTGTTGTCTTCTGGATGTTGCTTCAGCAGTTTTTTGTTAGGTCGAGATTCATGATATAGGAAGATGAAAGATCCCAATTTCGCAAATATTCTATAAATAATACTTTAGCAGCTGCAAGAAGATAGCCTAGGCCACATGTGTCAAACTCAAGGCCCGGGGGCCAAATCAGGCCCTTGGTGGATTTAATTTCGGCCCGCAGGATAATTTCGAATTACTATTAGATCTGGCCCACCGGTATATTGCACGCACACCTTCACTCAATCCTGAGGGTTTCCTCAGCTCAGAGCCTGACCCCAAACATTGATGAACTTGCACCCAAGATGAGATGCCAAGTATCTGGCTTGAACTAGCATCACAGAGCAGCAAACTGAGTTTCAATGGATGTTTCCTTCTGCACTTTTTTTCTTGCGATAACAGGGCATGTTTGGATTTTTCTTTGAGGGAAATAGTTTTTTTGAAGCTGTTGTTGGCCTGTGGAAAATGTAATCATAAGAGTTGTTTTTATAGGCAATCATTTAAGCTTTGTTAGTTCCAGGTTTAATATGTGCAATAAGTTAATTTCAATACGTTTTGCTATAAACATTGAACCAGTCTGGCCCTCGACTAGTACCCATTTTTTAATTTTGGCCCACCTTGTATTTGAGGTTGACACCCCTGGCCTAGGCTATACACTGTGGATCCTGATTTATTTTTTGTGAATAAAAACATTATTTTTAAATCTCTCGCTTATGTTATGCAAACGTTGTGTTCTGTAATCGTACATACTGTAATCTTTTTTTTAAATATATTGTATATCCTATTTACCAAAATAGTAAGACTTAATCAATTGATATTTGAATATAGGTAAGGGTTGGGCAAAACATCCAAACCTATTTAATCGTACTGTAACTACACAAAGAAACTATTATGTTATATCCTGTTAATCTATCTATCAAAGTCTGAGTTTATACGCCTAGAAATATAAGAACTGTATTTAAGTTGAAAAATATATGTGTGACATCTAAAAAATGAAATATAATATGAACTATTTAAAAAAGAAATACCATTTTAAATGCGTACTGTGGGCCTGGTATATAGAAATAACTGCAATAGTGCTACATGAAGGTCATCTGTGTGTAACCAGCTGTGTGATAATCAGCGTTAAAGATATGCTTGTGTTAAAGCTCCTCAGCTCACAGCTGCAGCAGTAAGGTAGACTAATTAACAAAGCGCCACCATGTGCCTCCACAAGGATACAGCTGCAACAGCTCTTCGTGTTTCCGGGTGCACAAAAACAAATTCGCTGCTCCCATTTTGTGTCTGGCAGGTTATTACTGCATGAGCGTCACAGCTTCTATTAAAATAGGTTAATGTGGTTTATTCTCCTGCACTACCACTGTTGCTAACCAAAATGGTGATCAACACACGGTTAGCAGTGGTGTGTGTCAGCAGTGTGTCCCTGAAAGCCCTCTCGGTGTGCTGTTGCTGTGCAGCTCTGCCAGCCCGTCAGCTGATCCTCTGTCCTCTTATCGCAGCTGTTTGAGTGTCCGCCCCTACTGTAGTCCTGCTTTTTATTTACTACACCAGTGTCAAGGTGCAATCTACATGTTGAGGTTATTGCTTTAACATATATTGTAAAATGACTCCTATGTTTATTGCATATTTATTAGCATGTACCTGTTTGTTACATATAGTAGGGATCTTTAAATATGTAAGGGTTAAATCTAAAGGCGCTCTTTATAAAAAATATTCTTGAAACAAGTCGAGGGGAAATATACGTGTGATTTATATGTTATTACCGACTGGGGGATTCGTGGATTGCTTTTATTCCACACTGCATCGCACATTTAATCGTAAATGATCTGCTAATGTTTCACTGTAATTCATATTAAAGACATTTAGCCCCCTTTTCAGCCATGTGCGCTTTCTTGACGCTGTATCTCTGCGCTAAATAGTCCTTTGTTTACATGCAGTCCCCCCTCTCTGCGGAAGGAGGCTTTTGGAAGTGCAGTGTGACTCCTACCAGCTGTTTCCCGCCTTGAAAGCCATCCGATCAGCTGCATACACACACACATGCACGCGCGCACACGGTCATGCAGAGGGAGAAAGCAGAGGGGAGGGAGAGAGAGAGGTAGAGCCACACACAACGAGGGAACCCCATCAGCTGGAAGTCGAGTAACATTACAACTCTCAGCAGCCTGAAAAACTACTACCTTACACAAACGAGGATTCATATCTTCTTTGAGGATTTAACCCGCGTCGGATCACGGGATTTCTGCTCTCTAAGCATATTATTTTTTCTTTTATTCAACGAAGACTGTTGCCTGTTTTTTTTAGCAGGGGGGGCAAACTGGCGAGAGGCGAGCATGGAGTATTTCATGGTACCAGCTCAGAAGGTGCCCTCTTTGCAACATTTCAGGAAAACGGAGAAAGAAGTGATTGGAGGTCTTTGTAGGTGTGTATACATGCGCTTCACCCAGCATGCAGCCGTTTTATTATTACAAGTCATCTGTTTGGAGTAGACGGCGATGAGGCAACATGCTTGAACTGATCTGTTATTGTGTACACGACCCACTCACTGGGAGCTGCGCGCATTATTTATCACCGAACACTTGAATTATGTTGCTTCTGAGCAAGTGGGGGCTCCGTCTCAACCCGCAGCACCCCCCTGTGATGTTTTTCTGCACATTTTGTTGCGATATCGTTGTATTTTTGTGGCTAACTAACATAAACCACGTGGTTCCGTGCACACCACGCTGCTACTCTGCTCCAGAGCGCACCCCTGCTCTATTTATCCTCAAATCACCCCCAGTGTCGCCTATAGGTGCTGTGATTTGCATAAGAAAAGATAACATAACACGAGCGAGTGTCATTCAGTGTGAAAGGGTCTAGTTTTGCCGCACACGTCGTGCGTGTTGCCGATTTGCTCAGAGCGATCCGAAGTTATTGTGGGTAGTGCGGCCATGCTTGTGGCTTGTGCTAAAAGTGATGAGGGGGTCTGGCGTGTGTTTCCTGTTTATGGCGCCGTTTTCGTTTACTTCTAATGTGAAAATATACATATAGTTTGTAAATTGCCCCCATTTGTCGTGGCGATAGTTTAAAGGGGGTTTATGTGTGTCTTGGTCGCGCTATCGAGTCACCTCCACTGCGTCTTTTCATCCCGCACCTCTGCCATGCTGCCTGCCGCATTGTTATAATGGCGGAGGACACGAAAATCTGCTCGGAGCACGGAGCTGTTGTCGGGCGCTGTGCCGACTAAGGGGGTTTAATGGTTGGGCTTTTTTATACATTATCTCCCGTGTGTCCGGTAAATGGACATTCAGCGTTAGCGGGGAGGCAGGATAAAAAAAGTGGTGTTATTAATAAGGGGGTGTGTATGTCGCGGAAGGCCATCCATACGTCCGCAGCCTTGTTTGAAGAGGGAGGCGGAGTGATCTGCTGATGGATCTTAGCAGTGACGCGGGCAGTGTGGGATATGTAGTCCTGTTGTTCGTTTTCATTAATTCCTCATTGTGAGTGCGGAGAATTGGTAAACAAAAGAGGAAAATCTACCTATAGAAAAGGGACATACTTTGTAACATAAGTATAAATACTTACAAGTATTACGGTTAAAAATCATAAATGACTTCTGTTCAGTATGAATATTACAACTAAAATCAATTGCTGGCATACAAGTTGCAGTCTCATAACAATATTATTTGATCAACTAATACTATTCCATTATATGTGGATGATTAGTTTATAAAATATGAGAAATATTGTCGAAAAATGTGCAGACCTATTTCCTAGAGATGATGGTGATTTCTTTCAGCAAATTGTTTTTTGCTCGCGAAATGTCACATTAAAAAAAAAATGGATTATCAATACAATTTCAATATAACTTTCTGATTTCATTTTAATAATTCATCAACCAATCATGTGGATTTATTGTACTATTCAGCTGTATTTAGTTTCCTGGCACTATGACTCCTGTTTTAGGCTTCAATCCACATGGGACCCAGTCTTTCTCCTGGTTAGTGGTTGTGCCTGTGTGATATGGTGGAGTCCAAGCACAGTTGGTGATGTTTTGGCAGTGGATGTGTTGGCTGGATATGCCGCTGCATTGCTGGTACGTGTGCCTGTGTGTGTGCACACACTCCTTTTTCTCATCTGTGTCTGCACAATTGTTCCCAGTGTTTGCACTGAGGCAGCTGAGTCAGTACAGATAAGCGCTTGGCTAGAGAGGGTCCCAGAGATACTGAGCTTGATACAGAGGTTGTAAGAGGAAGTTCGCTCAGAATTTCCCCTCAACTGAAGCACAGCATAATGGCAGATCATGTCGTTGGGGATACTAACAGGTTCAATGCTGCTCTTTTAACATCCCAACTGGAATTATCAGCAAAGGTGGTGCCACTGTAAAGATGTTTTACCATGTGTGTTGCTTGAAAGGTGTCCTGTAAAATGTCAGTCCTGCTTCAACGTCAGGAAGAATTCTCCCTCCCTAAGACCTTTCACAATCTTAACATTATATTGCACAGCATACATATTAATGTGTCACTTTAACACCTGGTAGAAAATGGCACAGTGATGGAAGAGCAGCCTTCAGCATGCATGAAAATATGGAATTTAACTTTATGATGAATGCTTATGATGCTATAAATTAAATGAAAGTGTTTCACTGTATACCCTGGAAAGTAGTTATTAATCGACATAAAAATTAGCTCTAAAACGTAATGTTATTTTAAAACTGGGTGCATTAATAACAATTGGATAGCAATGTGTCATTCAAGGGTCGAGATCAAATATTTTGACTATCTCTTGCTGTCTTTGGATTTTGGTTGAAGTTCACTATGTATGTTTTATTTTGTCATTCTGTCCAACTAACCACTGCCCTTCTCTTCTCCTCCCCGTAGTCTGGCCAACATTCCTCTGACCCCAGAAACAGCCCGGGACCAAGAGAGGCGAATTCGCAGAGAGATTGCCAACAGCAACGAACGTAGGCGTATGCAGAGCATCAATACTGGATTCCAGTCTCTTAAAACACTCATTCCACACAGTGATGGAGAGAAGCTCAGTAAGGTGCGTCATAAGAGAAGTTTGGGTTAGTTGAGGCATTATATGGAGCTGTAAGGTGCTGAACTCAACTTTATTATTCTTCTAATTTCCCCAGGCTGCCATACTGCAACAGACAACGGATTACATTTTTGCTTTGGAGCAGGAGAAGACGCGGCTATTGCAGCAGAACAATCAGCTCAAACGAATCATACAGGTAAAAATTCACCGTGCCAAAGGTGAAAAGGCTTCATCGTGATTTCTGTCTTTCAGTATCATCAGTTTATATATTTATCTAAAATGGATATCTGATTTCTGTGTGCTCTCCCTAGGAGTTAAGTGGTTCCTCTCCCAAGAGGAGGCGTGCAGAGGAAAAAGATGAAGGGATTGGCTCACCAGACATCCTGGAGGAGGAGAAGACTGAGGACTTAAGGAGGGAGATGATTGAGTTACGGCAGCAGCTGGAGAAAGAGCGCTCAGTCAGAATGATGCTAGAAGATCAGGTAAAATGAACAACGGTTAACACAATTTCTGACTAAATCTGTGTCCAGACAAATACACTGGCCAACATAGTTCTGTGTGTTGCTAACTCACACTGTTATCCCCTGCTCTGTGTTTCAGATGCGTTCCCTGGATGCCCAGTTGTACCCAGAGAAGCTAAGGATACTCCCCGAGCAGGAGCCCCAGAACAAGAGCCTCGTCCATCTGCAGCAGCACAAGCTGGAGAGGGACCTTTCTCCAGACCACAGCCCACAGGTGGATACCATTCTTTATATGTGTGACTCACACATTAACTGTTGAATCCTTCTGAGCATTACCATGATGTAGTTACATTTTTGTAGTTAGTTATCTTCCCTAAGTCTTATTTAAGAATCTGTTTACACATTTAATGCTGAAACAAAACATTTTGGAGCTAAAACAGGCATGGGGTATCTCTAGAAGTATTTTTCATTAAATATGTGCCATAGACATAGACACCAATAAATCTGTCTCTGACTGAATGTGTAAAACATTTAATAATGTTAGGATTTATAACACTGACATATACAAACAAATCTAAACCAAACAATACCCTTGGTTGAAATGAGCCAAATATATGAATACTTACTGTAGGAATTATGTGTTTAACATAAACACAATTTTTTACCACATCAAGTAAGATCTGAACTTGATACACAGACAAACCTTGGTCTCCTTAATATATCTTTGAAAACCAGTGTTTATGTTGGCCTCTTTATTCTAAAATACAGTATGTCTGCTGGCTTCATATTCCCCTCCTCCTTCTTATGTGTAGTTGTAAAATGTTTTGGTTTTCTTTGAATCAATGACGCATATTGCATTTACACAAATACTCCTGAAATAATCTCAGTGTACTGTGGATGTCACACTGACAGTCCCAAGTTAGAGCTGTCAGCAGCTAAGACACATTTACCGTGTGTTAAATGAGCAGCTCACAAGTCTTTCTGCCCGTCTTCCTGCCCTGACAGCGTCAGTGTCGTGTTTCTGGATGCTTACCCTAACTGAACATGATGCCAAATCAATTGGCATATGCTGTCTGCCCATCCACCTCCTGTGGCAGCTGGGCGTTGGTAGTGAAGACGATTGATACACTCTGCATTAGTCATGTGACTGTTTGTGACTCCCCAAGCGATATGACCCCTCAAGTCAATATTGCTATGAATAAACAGAATTACCTCAGTAAAAATGAACTCTTACCCAATTGCATCTACATTTTTGTTTGGATCATGGTTCCAAAACATCTAAACCTCTTGTTTGCATGTCACAATTTTACCTTACTGTATTATTGAAACTGATACCTGGAAATAAAGGAAATATGTATGCATCAGACTTTTAATCAAAAACAAAATAGGCATATTTGTCAAAACTACATCTCACGGTTATAGGATGTTATTTCGAGTATCACTAACTTCAGACTTTGAGATGTGTCGAAAGTCCTGGAACAAGCTAATAGGTGCACCTTGAGGTTAACTATGTTTGCGGTCTCAAACTAGCTTTGTCATTTTATACTTTGAGATAATTATTTAAAAAAACTAAATATGTTTTAATTGCAAATTGTACAACTGCAGTTTCTGTGGCCTATACAGATCTACTTCATTTCAAGCTTGTTGGTCAAGCTCAGAGTGATCGAAAGCACCCTCAAAAGACAGAGGGACGAAACATATGGAAAGGACTAAAATGTGGTTGACTTATAGATTTTAACATCTGGCCTGGCTAATATTCAATATGCTGCCCAGCTGTTTTCTCAATTATGTGTGCAATAGTGCCTGTGCTATTACTTTAATATACTCCTAACCATAATCATTTATTATCACAGTGCAGTGTGGAAAAGAGAGTATTTTAAAATGTTCCTCCTTTCTACCAGGTGTCTGCCCCCTCTACCCCCCCTGCCCCTACACATCATGCCACGGTCATCGTCCCTGCACCTGCCCAGCCTCCACAGCCCCATCATGTCACTGTGGTAACCATGGGCCAGACATCAGTAATCAATACAGTGTCCACATCTCGGCAGAACCTGGACACCATTGTTCAAGTAAGACGAAAGTCAGACGCAGAATTAAAGGGCCCATGTCATGCTTTTCTGGTTATTACCCGTCCCCGTGTGTGTTATGAAGGTTTTTATGCATGTAAACGGTCTGCAGAGTCAAAAACCCTCAAAGTACACCCTGTAGCGAGTAAAAGACCTGTCTATGCTGCCCCAAAACGCCTCGTTGGAGATTTCTCATTTTCCATTGTTTGCTTCCTGCGTTCTGTGACGTGTGAATACCCAAATCAACAACAAATGACCGTATTGGCCCAAATGGACCAATCCGCGGAGCACCTCACACACCAGGATCCCTTGGCTAACTAACAGGGAGTCCCCCTTAGGCGCTTTCACACCGCAGTACTTTTCCCACAAAGTTTCATCAGAACTTAGTTCATGAGAACTCTTTAGTTCTCATGAACTAAGTACAGATCGCGTTCACACCGGAATAAGTCCCTGGGGGAGGATTAGGCAAATGAAGCCACTGACGTCTCTTCTTCTGCTTTGGGTTTACTGGCAGGCCGCAAACAACTTCACGGCGTATACTGCCACCCGGAGTCCCCGGAGTTGGGGACTGGCTTCAGTAGAAGCTGCTTGGACTCCCAGCAGCTTCTACTGAAGCCTTCTGAGTAAATCGCCAGAACACCGACACCTCCTCATCTCCACCGCTCCCATGTTTTCTTTTGTGTTGCCATAAGTTAGTCTCTCTGCGTTTGTGCGCTGGGCTAATGCTAATACGGGGATAATAAAAATGGCGGCTTCACAAAACTTTTTGGGAATTTTACAGGGCGTGGTTTGCAATCCGCCCAGCCAATCAGACATAGGAACCTTTTTCTCCCACGAAAGTCCCTGCTCTCTAGCAGGGACGGAAAAGGGGGTAAAAAGGTTCTCATGAACTAATTTTAGTTCCGGATTTTTTTGGTGTGAATGCAACATATCGGAACTAAAGTGGGAAAAGTACTGCGGTGTGAACGCGCCTATTGACTTGCATAGAGCTCCCTGAGCGCTGGTAATAGACGAGTTGGGATCGCGGAGAAATGCTCTCCGCAGACCCATTCTCACAGCATTATAAACCTTTTTCTTACTCAATATCAAGCCACACTTATTGTTTTTACTTCGGCTGTGAGTGTTTGTGTGTGCTCAGGCTGAGTTTCGCTTGTTCTCGCTGTATCGCCGACCCGGAAATCTATCCGCTGCTCGCAGCAGCAACGAGCTCGCAGCGTCCCGACCAATCAGAGCACACTGGGCTCACAGGGAGGGGGCGGCAGGAGCTCCAACAAGCCGTTTAGGACAGAGAGTGAATACACATACTATACAGAGATGCTGTATGAGAAACCAATGTGATTTTGGAAAATTGCACAATTTAAATCTATTCTAGTATACCTCAACAATGGAAATATGATCAGTAGAAATGGCCATGACATGGGACCTTTAAAGACTAATTTCTTGTTGGAAATGTTCTGAGATATGAACACCAGAGGGTGCTGTTGTCACTGACATCACTTTCGTCTTTCCCCAGGCAATCCAGCTCATCGAGGGCACCCAGGGGAAGGGTTGTGCCGGTGAGGAAGAGCAGCGGAGGGCGGTCATCGTCACTTCGGGTCGCGGCCTTTCTGACGCGGCAGGCTCAGACACGGCCTCAAACAGTGACGGGCCCGATGACTGTTCACTCCCCTGAGTTATTCCCTGACGTCTCGCACGCCATACACTTCCGTACATGTACACACACACAAAGCCCAAGCAGAAAAGGGCTACAGGAGGCTTCACACCAACAGCACTCTTGTTCATTGGACATTATTAGGGCTGGTAGACAGATTGAAGCACTCGTTTTTGTTTTTGTTTCAGTACACTCTTACATGTTTTACCGTGATAGTCAGCCTGAATATGTTTACACTTAGACACTCATACGAGCAGTCTCTTCTGCGTGTTTTTCTCTGCTTGTCTTAACATTCACTGCTTAGCCCCCTGATATCTCACAAACAAATAGATCACTGATCTATGAATGCTTCGTAAAACTGGATACTAGAATGTCTGCTTAACATCACAATTAATCACCATGACTGTTCTCTTTATTCGGCCCTGAAGTCATTTGACTGATCCGCAAAACAGGAGACAAAGTCGACGAAGAGCCCGTCACCACCCAACACCAGAGCATTTTAGTTTTAGATTAACCTCTTTTAAACCTTCTTCTCGTGAGTTGTCTTGAGAGACACTGTGAGCTTACAAAAGTTGTCTCATAGAATCACCTTCTTTAGGTTTCTGGATCTGAGAATATGATGTTTTGTGAAGTCTCCTTTTCAATATTTTGTTCCTCTAAGGCTCCCTCAGCCAGCAAATTAAGTGATTGTACTGGAAAAACACAATTTGAAAAGCTGTTTTCATGGCTAACTGGTGCCCACAGAAAATGAAGCTCGGGAGGAGAGAGTGCGCTTACTGGTTCACAGCTCTTCTCTTTTTGTGTTTGACTGTTTGTTTGTTGCCATTTTTACTGGGCTGGGTTCCCAGTAATCCCACATATGTATTTGGCATGTTCTTCCTTTTGCTCATGGCCTGACAAAAAAAGATCAGTGCATTTCTTTTTTACACCCTCCCCCATTGAATTTAAAAGCACCTGGCTATAGGTAAATAAGCTAATCCGTGGGCACTCTTGAGTGATTTCCACTGGTGTATGTGTGTCCCATATAGCATTTTGAATCAGCAGTTATACCCCAGACTCTGGCAGTCTGCAACAGCACTGCAATTGCCTTGAAGTGAAGGCATTTGATGTGTGTATGTGCACACAACACGCATATAAAACTGACATACAATCATTTCTTTGCTCAATCTTAAGGGCTGGTTTTATTAAGCCCTTAATAATGTAGTTAGCTGTCCTAATGTTGGGACATCTATCAAAGCAGTGTGTAATTGCCCTGTGAAATAGTTTGACATATGCATATCCGTGCATAGATCATATGTGCTTTTGCGTGCTTTATGTTTATCCTACCATGCTATTTACATGTTTCTGCTTAGATCATACTTTTAAGCGTTTCTGCCTGGTGCTGTTGGTTTTCGGCGTTCAGACATGTAGCTTGGATAGAGGCAGCAGCTTGCCTTACTAATAGCCCGATGGTGCAGGGAGGCACTGTGAAGCCAGCCTTAACACAGCCATGGGGTCTGAGAGGCAAACCTGAACACTTGATCTGGGTCGCTTGGTGGCCGGTGGGATTGGTTTTCCTTTGCCTTCCCAAACAGGCTTGCAAACACCCAGGTGTGTTGGAATATACAGTGTATTTCTTCTTTTTGTTGTATTGTGTTTGCCACAAACCGGGCAGTTATACTTATTACATTCAAGCACTCCCCAGTTATTCAAAATGTATCCGAATACTGACTGCTGGTTAGACTTACATGTAGATTTTCAACTGTTGGCCCGTTAGTGTTCTCTACTATAGCCAGATTTCTGATTCATTGGGGAAAAATTCCACAATGAAATGTTGACATTCCATACATTTTACACATTTTTCCCTATCAGGTTACTTTTCAAAAGTGAACCCTGGTGTATTTAGAGATTACATTTAGTGCTTTTGACATATCATGCTATTTTAGAATCGCATTTAGGGACATACTCCTTATTAATATCCCCTGCATGAATGCATAGATGGAGCTTTGAACTGCTGGACAGATAATGTGTTCAATTGAACGCAACTCATCTATCATGATTTATGTCATGGAATTGCCCTTTAAAGAAATATTGATGTCAGCTGCACTAAAAAGAGCAACGTGTCTGTCAAATCGTGGGACATCTCCCTGTCACTATGGGCAGGGGATTCCTATATGTTAAAAATGTGTTTTGCAAGCTTTGCTTTTTGTAGAGCCCGTGCTTTTTTTCTCTGAGTATTTGCATTTATTCGTTTTCTGCTGAAAACCAGAACTGTTTTATTTCCAAATGTGTTTTAAACTTTGTTCTGTGTGTTAGGAAATGTTAAGTGGACATATCAGATGAGTGGGGTGGGCCTGGGGATCATTAAATAGGGTCAACATTACAAAGCACTTACTGTACTATGGAGTCGGCCTCTTTCTTTTGTATAAAGGAGCTTCTCCTCAGATAAAGCTCTTGAGGTTATGAGTAAAAGCCGCACAGCTGTGTATCCCCTTCTCCTTCATGTCCAGACCTCCTACATCATTGTCCTGTTTGACCATCACATTTTTAGCAAAATCTTATTTAGCTGTCTTATTTTTTTCTATTTTCAATATATTTTGTACCCCGTTACACATTTGATGGCTCCCTCATCTCCCTTTCCATTCGTCTGTTATCTGTATCTTTTTTTGTTAGACCTGTCAGTGCTTATGGTCGTCAAGAAGCTATTTCGTGTTTTTTTTTGTTTTGTTTTTTAAAGAAATGTTTTGGGGATAAAGAGGCTTGTGCCTTTGTAAAGACAGAATAATAAAGTTTGTACTTTGTTTTTTATGCATTGGGCTCCTAGTGTGTGACTTTGTTTCTCTCTTTAAGTCTTTGAAATAAGTGTTTCACTCCAGTTCTGAGTTGATAACGGTTATTATAGCACGAATAATGACATAAGCAGCTGAATTTGTACCAGCTCCGGTTGTGGCTGGCCATCACTCAAGCAGTACAGTTGATGTCCAAGTGTCTATTCCTGATTGGTGGCTGCGATATTAAAGCCCCACCTCCCTCTCTTGCTCAACAGCTCATCGCTAAATTAAGATCCACCACGTCCTGTGACAGTTCAAATGTACACAAGGGACAGTAGGTGGCATCTCCTGCCATCATCCCCTGACATGCATTCATTCATTCCAGGCCTCATGTTCACACCCTCACACATTTATCCAGCAAGACCTCAGGTTTTTGTGTCCAGAGTAAATCATACCTACTTTTGTTTTGTTTCCTATAGCCTTGATAGGTAGAGAAAAACAACTTTTGAGGAGTTTGGAGAAATGGATAGCACAGATGTATTAAGGGGCATAATGTCAAATAAGAGTAGTTCTTAAGAGGGTATTTAGACACATCCAAAGCTCCACTGTAGTTTGTGTTAAAAGGTAAAGGTGGTACATAGTACTTAAGAACCTAAGCACTATGTACTAACATAGATAACGTATATCTCCCTTAAGGTGAAGAGCCTTCTGTTTCTACATTTGTGACATAACGGTTGAAAAGTATAGTCTTTTAACAATTGTCACTTGAAAACCATGTACATATTTAACAGCTTAACACCTGTTATATTCTGTGACTTTTTTTCATTGTCAGAAAAAGCAACAAAGCACATTTTACACACACTTTTTAAAGGCACACTACTGAATTCAGCGCCTGTCATAGTAATTAACAAAAGATCATTGTTTTAATTCATAAAAGCTCATCAAAAGCACAGATAAACAAATATTCATGCCACATCAGTAGGGAAGTTTCTGAGGATTAAGGCAGTTTTACGCACCAAAATGAACATGCTGTACTGTTTGGACACGCTGCCAGAGTCATTAGGGATGGACATGCTTGAGTGAGGAAGTCCTGCTATATTTGGGGATTCATTTATAGTTGAGATGTTTATTCCCTTGAATTGTGAGATTATGTTCTGCACAGTGTGTCTGCTTGAGTGTGATAAAGCAGTAATCCGCCTAGCGTTTAGCTCGGATTCTGGGGTGACTCTGGGGTCTATATTTTCTAGACATACCCTCTCTTCAGCTCTCATCCCTGCCTCTCTCACACAGTCCTATGATGATTATTTCCCAATCTGGCAGCGTTGTGTCTAAATTAACATTAAAAGTGTATTACCTTGATGAACATTTCCTGAAAATTAGGGAGTTAAGGAGGTGAAGTTGTTACAGTCATTTGATCATTCTTTTTAGTTCCACAAAGCAGCAGCTAATTGTGAAATATGTGATTTTAGTTTTATACACAACGTCTGTTTTGGCCCTATAGAGTTTGCATTACTTATTTCGAGGAAGGTGATGTTCTTTTCCTGTGGCTGGCCAGCTCACTGCACTGCTACACAGTCCATTTACCATTTACCATACTGCATGCTAGCAGCTAGCATGGCCCATTCTCCAAAGTCAACAAATCTGTCTTAACCAACACCTCTTAAGCTTAATTGGTACACATGTTGATACCGATTCCTACTGAGTGGTATCAATCTTCTGATCTTACTCTATGCGAAAAAGAAAAAATAACATATATCCCAAATACGTTTTACTTTTAGGCCTCTAAAATTGCTGATTTCACACCAGTTTGCCTTTAATCCCATTCTATTAATGTCATCTTCTTAGAATTGTTGCTCATTTCAAACCATCCAGTCTATAAAACACAATTTCTTTAAAATGATCATCAGAAAGAAGTTGTGTTATTCAGCACTGACACGTTTAGCCAGGTCTTTGCGGAAATATTTGCAGAGGCCCAAGCTGCAACCCCTTTAAAAAGAAGTCAGCTGCTTGCACACGTAGAGGCCCTCACACACAGATCCCAGCCCCTCCACCAGCTGGCCCTCTCTGTGCCCCTCCTCTTCAATCTGCATGCCCTTTAACCTTCCTGCCTTGGTATATATAGTCTGTGTGACTATCAGAGTTCTCCTGGCAGCCATCATGAAGGGTACAGTCGTGATCAGCTGTCTCCTGTCCCTGCTGCTTTTGCAGGCCACAGCAGGTAAGACTTTAAGTAATCATTTTGGTCAAACATCCGGTGGATTCCTCATATTTTATGTTGGGTGGTGCATTTAAGGCTCTAGATACGTTTCCACACAAATGTTGCTAATGAATGAAACAGTGATGCAGTGTAGGTTTAGAAGTTGGTTTAAGGAATGTTAAATGGATTCCTGGCTTCTTTGTGAGCTTGATCTACTACGAAAACCTTCTGAGATTCAGAAGCTTTGATTTAGACTGTTAAACATAGATGGTTGAACGTTTTACAGTTCTTGTGTCAAATGTTTGCGCAGTTCTTTTGGAAATGTCACTGGCTTCTAGAGTGTGTGTGGGGACAGAGACAGTCATGGGGACACCAACCGAGGTTAGACTGGATGGAGACAGAAATGTTAGTCCGGTCCTTCTTTGCCATCAAGCAGGACTATAATAATCCTGTCTCAGTTTAAAATTAAACTGCTGGCGCCCCGTACAAAATGACAGACTTGAGTGTCCCTTTGACTTTTCTAGTTTTTAATTGTCTATTAATTAGAATCCAAAACAAACACAACACTCTAATTCACTTTTTATGTATGAACAAACGTCATACCATTTTTGGTGACTTTACAAAGCAGAGCAGTTAAAGATCATTCAAACGAGAGTTCAGCCTCTCCTGATCACTGACAGCATGTCAGCTGTCGTAACGCATTGCACCAGCTGATGGAAAGTCTAACCAGGGAGAGAACAGCCACGCGGGAGCTTGAATGGGCAATGAACTTTTATGTCATTTATAGTTTTTCATTCATAGATCTTATTGCTTCATTTTAATTCATTTTCCACAACTTGGTTTGGAATAAATACTTATACCCATTTACATGTGGGGGGCAACATTATCTGGACGATAACCTATAGCATCGTAAAATACAAAGTATAAATACAAATATCGGAATGAATATGATAACATGGCAGCAATGGAGTTGAATGTCATGGCGACAACGATTTCTCCCAGATTGCCCGTGTTGGTGCAGACAGGTCTGCGAGTCTGGAGCAAAGCGGTTGGCATTACCCTTGTCTGTCACCCTTGTCCGTCCTTGGGTCGGCGTTGAGCTCCACGGCCGGGCCCAGGCCTCCATATTCCAGGCTGCTGTCAGGTGTCTAAGATTGGAAGGCCTCCTGAAACCCAACACTGTCCACTACAGTCTCCCCCCCCCCCCCCTCCTCTCCCCTTCCCTCCTGACTCCTCACCCCTCCCAGCCCAATGCTTCCCTTTAGATGCATTGCACAGCTGCTGTCACTCTGCACTGTCACAATCGCAATTTATTCCCAGCAGTTGGCCTTTTAGGGACATGCATTCTCCAGGCAGGAGGGGTTGCAATTCATGCCTTCATAGACCCCTTCTGCAGGCCCGTGCATCTTTTGGTGGCCTCTGTCTTGTAATCTACAGCATGTGGAAACTATGTGTTGATTTGTACTCCAATACCTGTTGGTTACGGACAATTATGAGAAGAATCATAAACTTCTTGCTGCTTAATGTCCAATTATGTATGTTGTTGGTTGGTTCAATCAATGTCAGGAATCCATTGGAGTAGCTAACAGTGCAGAGAGTAGAAGAAAGGGTAATCTCCTTACAAAAGAATCTAAAATTGACTTTCTATCAACTGATCATGGGTCATCTTATTGAAGTCCTGGAAAGTGCAGATTTTCTGGTCCAAAAAGCGAATTAATTAATTGTATATAACATCACATTTTTGTGAGAAATACAACTCAAAGCACCAGCAGGGCCTACACGTAGAAAAATTGATGTTTTTGATATTTTACACTCATTTTCGTCTCACATTTCTGTCCACAACAGTAATAAATAAGCTGTGATAAACTGAAAATGATACATTTTGATGATAGGCAAGGATACTGTGACTTTTGCACAACATAGTTGAACTTGATCAACTATGTTGATAGCTTGATCATTCATTTTATGATTGAATCAGGCAAGGGAAGCCTGGTTTTATTGTCGTTCAACTTGCATTTCATGACCAACCTGATTCCATGATGCTGCGCTCACTTTCCATGTAGAAGTAAACATAGATTGCTATAGTCACGATGGAGTTATTATAAGGTTGCCAGAAATCCTAGACTAACCAGGTCTTGTGTGAATGGTGTTGACAGACCAAACGTGGATTCATACCATGTTCAGTGTCCAATGTCACATGTTTGATAGTGAAGATGTAATGAAGATGTAATTGCTCAAATGCGACGCTGACTCTTTTTGACATACAATCATTTAACAGCCTGTTTTGGACCTTGATTAGTTTTTCACACAAGTGTGTTTATATTTTAGAGGTAACACTACCCATCTTCGATACAGTAAAAACATCTTTGTCGTCACTTTGCAGAGGGGAGGCATGAACATTTAAAGGCACACTGCTCCACGTAATCCTCTCTTAAGGCATGTGGCATGTCTGGGTCATCCCTACACTGGTAGTAGTGGAAGGGACACACCAGTCATACTTAACTGCCTTACAACACACCCCTTCTTGAGACAAGCCCCCCAGTCCCAAAGGCACTTAATGTCCTCTACTGGCTTTCAAATAGGAGAGCAGGGATAGAGGCGTCAGATCAACACCTCAGGGTAAAGTGCCTTTGCCATTCTGTCTTCCTTTGAGCCTGTCACTCAAATACATTCGTAGATGTCAGTGTCCCCTTAGAGGACTTACAGTCCGGATGTGGCTCACATAAGAAATACTCTAGGGCCATTGACAACCATTAAGTCATGTTTCTGTTTGATTGGTATTATCTTTCAAGTAAAACAAATGACACCAACAAAAGTAGTCTGTCTATCCACTTTCTGTCTGAAATACCGAAATTCCATAGTGGAAACGTACTTCAGAAGATGCATTTAATTGAACTGCACTTCTTGTGTAAATTCCTGAGATACAAAGAAATCTTTAATGTGTCTAATTGGCAATCTTTACTTTATGTAAAACATACATGATGGTACAGTAGCTTCACTCGTTTCCCTGTATATTACACAATCAGATTCCGATCTGAGGGATGTGGATGTCTCTGAGTCTCCACACTGACTAAAATAGGAGCCAACCATTCTGCCCCCTCCTCTGTCCATCCTCTGACCCATTGTGGGTCTATTTCTGACTGAGGGGGAGTACTAGCTCCAGAAGCTGTTCCACCTGTTGCCATCCGTGGCCTATTTTCACCACACCCTGCACACGCTCTGCTGACTGCTCTCACACCTCTGACCCTTGCCAGAGGAAGAGTCATTTTTATAGTTCTAGGTTTCTTAAATATTCAATGGGCTTCGTTTTTAGTCAGAAGTATATGCATTGTCCTTTTAGAGTGATCAGGAAAGTCGTACATTACATTAAGGCTGTATATAACATTTGGTATTTAAAAAAATAGTGATTTTGTAAAAATGGTCCACTCGGTTTAGCTTTAAATGAAACCAATGACTCTCCATGGATATTTCCAGTGGAACCCCCTGGCCTTTAGTAAAGGTTGCCTGAATCCCCCCGTGCTCAGGATAAATCCTCTGACTGGGGGTTCCAGGCTTGTCGTCCCTCATCATGTTCATAATTCAATTTACCTCCACTGTGCTGCAAGCAGAACATGATCCTGGGGTTTTACACATACACAGATACCTAATATAAACAGTGTAAATGCACATTTCCATTTTATTTAACCTTTATTTAACCAGATAAAAAGCATTGAGATAAAATCTCATTTTCAATGCTGACCTGGCCAAGAAGGCAGCAACGTTGCACATGAGTGCAAATAAACACAAGCACACACATTAATGTCCATCCATGGTGTTCTTTCAACTTGAGCAACATATGTACACAGACATTTAACAATTACAGTAGTTGATTGACATTCCTTGTGATTATTGAATAGCCTCCACCCAAGGATCTATAGTTGAGGCATGACTTACTAAGCCGCTGGTAGGCTTAACTCACAAACATTCCTACTGGATGTGCTGATGCCACCAGAATGTTTCTCCAAACTGAGGCTGGGTTGTGTGGCAACCGGCTCACTGAGGACACATGGTCCTGAGCGCAAATGTCGCGGGTTCTACTCCCCTGGCGCCTGCAGAGTTAATTTTGAGCACTGATGCAAGGCCCGCCCTCAGCGGGCAACACTACCTCTCTGATCTTTGCAGACCTCTGTCCCAGGCCTTCTATCAGGCATCGGCTGGATTGGGAGGTGTTAACACTCCCACAGCAGTTAAAACCTACTCAAGAGCTTGTGTTAAAAGACATGACTCTTCTGAGTGATGAGTCAAGTTACAGAAGTTAACTAAGCTTTGCGGCTGAAGGGTACAGGCCTGGTACGGTGAAAAGATAAGAAATGTGCCTCAAGCATCCAAGTGGATCTTCTGTTTCTTTTGAAAGCTGACTTCTCTCTTCTTTGTCAAAATCACTCATCTTGTGCCATATCTTCACTCAGTGTTGGTTCAGATGACTGAAATTCCTTTGTGTGCAGTGTTTCTCTTTGACTCAATTTGACATGGAGTTGTGCCATGACAAGTGATGAGTTACGGGGGTTGCATAATGATAGCCATGTATCACAAATTGTGCAACAAGATGTCACTTACTGCTGTTTCCAAAAAACATGACAAAAGACATTTTGTATTGGCATGTATCTGACCTACACTGGCTGATTTGAAATGCTTTTAATTGGTGATTATTGTAAAATTGGATTCATTCTCTTGCATTGTTTTCGCAATAGATAACATACATGCTTTTCTTATCATCACATCCTACAGAGCTCCTTAAAAATACTCATTGAGAATTTAAGCTTAACAAGTAGCCATTTTAATATTTAATGACAGATATAGATCAGTCACTGAATCTTTTTAGGGATTGCAGTATTACTCATCTTCTCCTTTTATTCTGGCTTCTAACCTTTTGGTTTCTCTTGTTCTTGCATCGTGCTGGGAGCAACATTGCACAGGCTTATTTTTAGCAGGTTGACTCGGGGAGAATCAGTGGCACTACGTTGTTCCTTAACCAGCAGTGTGTGTCACTGCTGCCTCACTGCAAAAGCGCAGTTGGTGTTTTAATTAAAGCACCAGCCATACTTTGTGGGGGGTCTTTTGGGGAGATATTTTCTATCTCTGCCTCAGAGGTCAGAAGCCATGCTTCGGTTCATTGTATTGACTGTGAATACATTTCTTCTTCAATTATCATTTGTTCATCAATACAAAACTAGTTTGCTTCAGACTTGTAAACAAACAGGCCTTCAGATATATTTCCTGTCATTTGATGCACCATTACTTCTGGCCAGAGCAATGTGCCAATATGACACTTTGCCAGAAACACTAGAATTCATTGACGACATGGCTGGTGCCGGTAATTCAGGTTGCCATGACAGTGTCTCACATAGATTTACTTTACATGTCTGCATAATACAAAAAGCCATTAAGCTAATGTCAGGAATTAAGCAATAAGGTAAAGACACATTAATAGGTGGCATACGTGAAGTAATTATTTGGACAAATTGTCGCTTTGATTATGCTATTTGCAATATTGTATCATTATTACATCTTTGCTTTGTGATAATAAACCTATTCTTAGTAATTTGTTTAATTTTGACTCCAACAAACAGCAATCTATGAAATTAAATAAAACATTGTAAGCATACATGATTAAAATTAAGTAGCATTTGAAATAATTGGAAGAGATCTCAAGAGAGCAATATAAAGAGTATGGTTGTTTGTTTATATGACTAAAGAGAAAGTGACGGTTGGCAGTTTACATGAAAAAATCAAAGTTTTGGGCATGTCTGCAAAAGAGTGCTTGACCTGCAAAATCAAGCATCCCTACTAAGTGTTTCTGCTTCACATCAGTCAGGTCTGTTTGGTGTTGACCAGAGAATTGGCCAGCTGAGATCACAGGGTCGTGACCTGGAGCATCAGCGCCAATTTATCATGCTTTCTGATTGTCCATGCAGGTCTCATCATCTGAACAGGGCATCTTATTTTATAGTCTTAGTTTTATAAGTCAGCCATGTTCAAGTTGTTTTGTCATCAAGCTTAGATGCCTGTATCAAAATCTTTTTTTTACGATCAAGGATTCCTTTCAAACTATCTTTACATGTTTCCTGTGCCAGTAAACTGGATTAACCGATGTGCCGACAAGAAGTATGCTGATGTGTTTATATAACGCAATCAATATTCAGATTATGCCAGACACAGACAGTATGATTTACAATTGAATGATTGCAATGAATCATCCCCATCGCTGCTATACTATCATCTTTAATACTCCTATAGCATGCTGTAAATACCTTTAAAATTCCCGAACAACTCTATTAAGGGAGTGTCTAATAGCTTGGACACACAGACCCATAACCCTTCAGGGACATTGAAGTGTGAACCAGGAAGACTTCCCCATTCCTTCTATATATAGCATGTAGCCGTAGCAGGTTTGTCCGAAGCAGGACCGTGTGGGAGGCGTTACAGGGGAGGCCTGTTCTGAGGCCTGGACACACAAGGACAGGCCCCACAGTGCGATGAGTCTCTGATAGGTGGGTAAATATAGAAGAGAAAAGACACAGGATTGCACATCATTGTCTCATCGTATGTATTATTGATGGGAACACTCAGTCCAGCTCTGAGTTCTCCTCCCAGTCTGTAATGAAACTGGGGAAGTCCCTCTCTCTCTCTCTCTCTCTCTCTCTCTCTGCCCCCCTTATGTTTGCAGTTGCTATAAAGCCCATGGTGATGCCAAACAAATAGCTATGTTTATTTGTGGCCTTTGCTTTCTAAATGAAGAGCTGATTATAGTAACAGCTGAGTTCTGAGCTATCTGATATGTTCATGCTCATAAGTGGACACGGCACACTGGTGAGCGGATATGTTCTCTCTCTCTCGCATACACATGCATAAGGGGGTGAATAGTCAATGAAAAATTAGACATGTGTATGTTGCGGGGTGCAAACATTTAAGGCACTTTGGGGAAAAAAGCACCAAATGGCATGTATGCACAATCAGGGAAAGTCACCCATTTTATTTGGATAGAGAACCTTAAAAACCCAAAAATGGATAGAGAAATCTTTGGATAGAGAACCTTAAAAACCCAAAAATGGATAGAGAAATCTTTGGATAGAGAACCTTAAAAACCCAAAAATGTAAACCATAAAATACTTTGTTCCTCTCTACAAAGTCATGAAAATATATTTGGGTGGAAACTATTGGGTTAATTATGTACAAAAACAATAAATAAATGGATGGATTTGTAGGGAGAAAACCGGGTGAAGTTATGTCTTCACAATGCATGATTCAATTTCCCTCTGGCCTCTGCATGAGGAAATGGATGTTGCAGAGTACGTCTGGCACAGTGTCATCACGAACAATCAATAGGGTTTCATGCAAAGCTAGTTATCCTTTTTGCCAGACACAAACACTTTATGGGAGGCTATCATGCAATAAGCTTTTTGTATTTACAAAAACAAACCATGAGACAGAGAGGTAGATGGAAATGCAGGAAATACGATGTAGCTGCAGAGGAAATCAAGGCTCAGGTTGGAAACACTTGAAATGTAGACAGCTCAAATATCTGCTGTGTCATTAGTTGATAGTGGCATCAAATGCAAAACTGTCTCCCACTTCTTATTATCAAATATGTGTGTCACACTTAAATTCCAAGCAGTGTTGATATGTATATACAGGATGCATTGATTGACTTGCGTCCAGAAATATCGGCACTGTCTGTTGGCCTCTGTAGCATAGCTTAGTTGAACATGTCTGTCATTAGCCCCAGTGGCAACTTCATAATACAATTATCACTGGGTTGGTTTGCACCATATCTGGAAACCTGGGCCAACTTCCATTGTTCATGTTGTAATTGAAGACAAACAGTGAGGACTTAAATCAAGTTAAATGATGTAAATGTTGTTTTTACAGAGGAAGAAAAAGTAGAAGACTTCATCTCTGCCCTCAGAGACAGATCTCACATCGATGAGACGCTGCGGCTTGCAACTGAGGACAAATCAGGAGACTATGCAGGTGAGGTGTATCAAAGATACATTGGATATGTTTTATGGAAACAAGCTTTTCGCTTGCCTGTAACTGGCACATTTTACTAAGCATCTTTATCATCCTTTCCTCTCTCTTTTCTTATCCTTCAGTGGCCATTGAGAAGTTGCGGAAGATCTACCACTCATCCATCAAGCCGATGGAGCAGGCCTACAAGTACAATGAGCTGAGGCAGCACGAGATCTCAGGTATCAAAGAGGGTTGGGCTATGTCTGCACTTTGTTCTGATGTGTGGGTGTTAATGTTTGGGTTGCTTTAGTGACTGGTCGGTTGACTTGTTTGTACAAACACATCATCCTTACTCCATCAACAACACATAACAGAAAGATCTTCTTTCAATTCTTGGATTTTATATTATGCGATTATCTTTTTCTGGGCTCTCAGACTCACTGTTATATGAGGGTGAGGAAAGAATTGTGTATAATTTGTTTTTTAGTTATATATACAGGACAGGTAATATATTACCTTTAAAATATTTCTTCCCCTTTTCTTCTATTTAATTTCCATTTGTCCTTGTTTGATTCTTAAATGACTTTGCACTCCTCAATTCTCCTCCAGAGCGACACTCTGAGCTGCATACTTAACTGTCAAGAACAAACTTTACTTTACCACAATGAAATAAAGGTCGCCCTCTTGTGGCTTTTTAGGCTTGGCATACATGCAAACTTGTCAAATCCCTTTTGTATCATGCCTCCTAATCTGGGACATGCACAGAAATTCTGAGGGGATGTTGTTTTACCGACAAAAAGGGACAACCACTCAGATTGTAGGTGTCATCCATCAACAATTTGTATTTAATCTTTCCTCAAGAAGGGCAGCCCAGCCAAAAAATGGCATATGTTATATATATATATATATTATGGGCTGTTGCTTGGGTAACTTTAGCCTGGGCTTGTGCTTGTCTCTGCTCTTAATTAAACTATTTTTTAAGATGAGAGTAAAAAACCATTCACACAAAATCCCCTAGACAAAAAGGGACACCATCTTGGACATATCAGGTCAAAGATGGTACTGTATTCCCACCCATTCCTGCACATTGTTACTCTACCGCTCCAGGAGACCTCACTCCCTCATTCCTCCCTCTCACCCACTTCCTGTTCCACTCACTTCTCTGAACTCTACCCTTTACTGTCCCGTTTCCCCATTCCCTCCACTCCCCCCATCTAACAGCCTACCCCGGACGAACCCTGGGGGATTCAGACCCAGGTGGGTGTCGGCGGGGGTTACCTGTGCATGATGGCACTGCCTGAAGTGCTTAACCCCTTCCTACCCCATTCATTTGTCCTTGTACATTTGTGAGCCAATTGGATGGATACCATTTTGGGGATACCCAGATGTAACATTTCAGATTAGGTTTAGTCAAAGTGATCCATAGGCAAAAGGCTCAACCCATATAGAGCAAGATATGCAGAAGTTTTATAGCCTAATCAACATGGATTTAATTTTCCTTGATTTACTGATTCACAATTCCAACCAAAACTCCAATCCAATACAAAAGAATGAAAAGGGAAGAAATGTAAATAAAAGGTTTACTCAAGAATTTGTAAAAATGTGTATGGTTTGGTCATCACATTATTTACAGTATTTACAGATGAAAAGCATAACATTGTGTAGTTAGGGTTTACATTGTAACATTTGGAGGGGGTTGCATGTGCAGTTCTGGCTTCAGAAAAGCTTTAAGCGAAAAACACACATGCTTGAGTAGGGGACACTGGCAGGAGAGGATGGGAGTGAATTGACTGACTTTTTGTCCAAAATAGTATTCTTTAGGCCAATATAATCAGGGATGGTTATTTTGACCTTTTTCCTTGTATCTTTTTGGTTCACGTTTTCTCTTCTTTAAATTTCTGCTCTTTTTTAATTTTTCATTCTTTTGAGTTCTTTCAGCCTTGGACCACAAGGCTCTCACAGAACTTTCCTGCGCCCTACCACACCATGTCCACTGACAACACACATGGCAGCTTGTTAAGAGACACACAGATGGCTTTGAAAGCAACGTTGTATGTCAGAAGCACTGCTTTGATGTGTGGTACTAAAATATGGCTGCCTCTTTTTTGTAAAATGTCTTCTGATGCTATTAAAAAAGCATTGCAGCTTTCTTTCCACAGGCATCTTTCTTTTTATTTCCATTCTCAGTCTGAGGAAATATTTATTTTTGTGCTCTGGATTGAGAGTGACAGTGTTGTACTGACAAGCTTCTTTGGTGTTCTCAGACTTCAAATATAGTTCATCCCAAAAACAACCACAGGATTTTTTCATATGGATGGAGTGTTGTTAAGCCAGCCAAGCAAATATTGACTTCTTTTGGCTATTATATTAAACAGCTCAAGTTCTCAATCTCCCAAATCCTATCATGAGTGGTTATTTTGTAATTATTCACATAACATTTGGGATGAACTTGAGAGGTTCTTTGTCATTATTTAGCCACCCTGCTGAGATTTTACCCAATCTTGTCTTTCCTTGCCTAACAGATGGAGAGATTACCTCCAAGCCCATGGTGCTGTTCCTGGGACCCTGGAGTGTTGGAAAGTCCTCCATGATCAATTACCTCCTGGGCATGCAAGATAGCCCCTATCAGCTCTACACAGGTATGTTATACAGATCAGCAATATCATCTTTAATATTGTAATCCTTTGTACTATAATCCAAAAATAAATGAAGTGATCTCTGACAATTTAGTACCATTACTCAGTTGATCAAAAATCGCTATAATCAATATTTTAACATAAGAATATTTGAATGACAATGTAAAAACAATGTGATGATGGAAAAGGGTCACTCGTGTCTTGAATCTGCAGCTTCAAAGTCAAAGTCAAAAAAAGTCAAAAGTCAAAGTCAAAGTCAAAAGTCAAAAGTCAAAGTCAAAGTCAAAGTCAACTTTATTGTCAAGAATTCTACATGTTGTACATCCAGAAATATCGTTTTCCGCAGTCCTACAATGTGACATATATACATCAAACAAAAAACAAAAAGGTTCCCTTGGCTTTGAAGAGATTTAAATAGTTGCATAACACACAACTTTTTTGGTTTACTTTCACAGCTTTCATAGCATCGTTTTTCAGCAAAACATATTTTGATACTACTCCTCCTAATCTTTCCCTCTTGTTTTCCTTTTTTTCAGGAGCTGAGCCTACTACCTCTGAGTTCACTGTGATTACGCATGGGGAGAAGATCCGCTCAGTTGAGGGTATTGTAATGGCAGCAGACAGCTCTCGGTCCTTCTCTCCCTTGGAGAAGTTTGGGCAAAACTTCCTGGAAAAGCTGGTTGGTATTGAGATGCCCCATAAGATGCTGGAACGTGTGACTTTTGTGGACACACCAGGAATTATTGAGAACCGGAAGCAGCAGGAGAGAGGTAAACAGAGAGCTTTACCTTAGTTTGCAAATGTACACAATCCAACATTTCAAACACAAAGCAATCTGGCTGCAACTCAGTATCTAGGGGTTTACATATTCTCTTCTTCTGTCCAGGCTATCCCTTCAATGATGTTTGCCAGTGGTTCATTGACCGTGCTGACCTGATCTTCGTAGTATTTGACCCCACCAAGTTGGATGTAGGCCTTGAGCTGGAGATGCTCTTCCGGCAGTTGAAGGGTCGTGAATCCCAGATCCGCATCATCCTAAACAAGGCTGACAACCTTGCCACCCAGGACTTAATGAGAGTCTATGGTGCTCTCTTTTGGAGCTTAGCTCCGCTCATCAATGTGACCGAACCCCCCCGCGTCTACGTCAGCTCTTTCTGGCCATATGACTACGCACCTGACACCAGCCGTGACCTCTTCAAACGAGAAGAGATCTCCCTCCTGGAAGATCTGAACCAGGTGATTGAAAACCGCATGGAGAACAAAGTTGCTTTCATCCGCCAACACGGCATCCGCGTGCGCATTCACGGCCTGCTGGTAGACCGCTACGTTCAGACCTTTAAAGAGAAGATGAGCTACTTCAGTGACCCTGAACTAGTCTTCAAGGAGATCGTAGATGACCCAGACAAGTTTTACATTTTCAAATCCATCCTAGCCAAGACCAACATCAGCAAGTTTGACCTGCCCAACCGCGATGCTTACCGTGACTTCTTTGGCGTTAACCCTGTCACCAACTTCAAGCCCCTGACAGCTCAGTGCTCCTACATGGGCGGCTGTCTGCTGGATAAGATTGAGAAGGCAATCACCAATGAGCTGCCCGCCCTTCTGAGCAGCATTAACTCAGGCAAGCAGCCTGGCCTGACCTCCTGTGAGGCTACAGGCTGTGGTGAGAAGCCAACGAATCGTTATCGAAAGAACTGAGGAAATCCAAATAACTTGAGTGGGTGAAGTAAGAAGAGAAGGGGTCGGGTGGGAGCCACCCTTGCGTTTGTCAGAATGCCTCGATTGATGAGGAAGACAGAGGAGAAGGGAGATTAGTGTTTGTTTTTTTCCTCAGGATAATATGGGGAGTTGCATTTAGGGACTGTATTAATGAGACAGATAAAGGGAGGGAAGGGTCATTGTTTGATAAGGCAGCTTAAGGACACACATGCTGAAGAAATGAGAAAATGCCACTAATCACTGAGTTTTGTTAAAATATATGCCCTTCTCTCCCTTGTACAACCACAGCTTTTGGGGTGGGGAATTAATTATGTAAAGAAGCACAGAAATGAAAAAGTAAAATTCAGTAAAATCTTGATAATCCTGAGACTGAAAACAGTCAAATACCAGCTCCCTTGTATGTGAATAAAATGGGAAAACGTGGAAACAGAAGTTGCAAATTTGTGTTGTAAAATCTTGAGAACTGCATTGCAGAAAGTCAATTCCATAAACTTCGAAAGCCGATTTTGAAGTAGTTTTTTTTGTGGGTGCTATAAGCCTTTGCATTTGTCATCCAACTCTTGCGTTTGACATAGATTAACTTTAACAATGCATGTTAGATCTTATTTAACAGATGCATGTAATTCCTGCTAGCATAACGTTTTAAAAATAATATTTCCTTGTGTAACTGAAACCTGAACCAACCCTGCCATGCAACAAATAAGGCCTTTTTTTCTCCTTTCATTTTATACGCTCATCAGTCCTGGTTGTTGACAACTTATGACATGGGCACTGTGATAGAAGCAGAGTTCAGGGTTCAAGGGTCAGAGTCTTCAGAGCGGGCTGGGTATGTTAATTTTGCTTCACTTCTTAACTGTTCTTACTGTTTTCTGTATGCGTCTATAAATTTGCCAGTCTTTGGCAGGAATTCAATACTGTGTTATGATTTTCTTTCCCCTTGAACAATAAGCTTCCCAGCTTCTTTTAGCTGAATGACCATGACAAACAAAGATGGAGGATGTGTTTTCATTAAAGTTGTCTTATTCAACCATTTATTTTGCTGGATAGAAAGCTATTTATTGGTTTGAATGTGTCATTATTCCAAATGGGCATTGAAGTAGTCTGTGTAGGTGTACTGAATACTCCCTGCTTTACATTTGTATAAACTACCACACCAAGAATGCGTTTTCCTAGCTTGCAAAAGCCAGGCTGCAGGTAAAGGTAAAGTTGAGGACTTCTGAGTTGACCCCTGACCTCTGTGGAAAGAAGTAAGCTGACAGTAGGCCTACTGACATTTACATCCACAATATTTTACAATGACGCATGTAGTAGATGCAAATTCTTATGTAAGCCTACCTCAAACAACTTTCCATGGTAAATCTGCTAAAAATAGTTTGACATTTTGGGTACAAGTGTTTGGCCAGTCGCAGTAACTTCGAGAAAATGGGTTGCTAGGCAGATAGCAGAGACTCAAGGAACTTACTGTTGCCAGCCCAGAAATAGTTTTGCACATAGTTTAAACTCTGCCTAAACTGAATTTAACATAGGCCTACTATACATGTCGCCTGCGGGGTTCTGGAGGTACAGGTAGGCGGACTTTGTTTTTCCTAACCTAGACATACGTAGGCTATATGTTTCCAGACTAAGCTAATCTACGCTAACTGTCTGCTAGCTACACAGACATAAACGTGGTATCAATCTACTAAAACGTCAAAACTATTGCCTTAATTAACGGATTCCCAAATAATCAAAGGATAGGTAAAGAGTAATAGGCCTACCCATTGTAATACATAGATTTCCGAAATGTTAACTCATGGACAATAGCTAGTCCAGTTCCCTCTCCCTCACTAACCCCATTTGTTTACCTTACTAAACACTGAAACATAATGAAAAAGATAAGAAACCAACAAACGTTTTTTAGTTTCCCTTGTTTATTTGATTGTGTGTGCTCCACTGAATGTGTTAGTATGTTTACACTGCAGATACAGAAGATGCCCACCAGAGAGCGCTGTGTAAAAGTGTAAAAAGATACACAGACCATTTATTACTCATGGCAGTCGTTTAGTGTTAGAGTGATAGTTTGGGATAATCACATGTGTGATAATGCTTTGCTATATTTCTGCATCAATTTTCCTAATTGAATTGTGAATAAGATCTGGAACGAATGTGTGTCCCATTAAAGTAGTTATTCATTAACCTTTTCTTTTGTTTGGTATAATAACATCTTCATTAATCTTGGCCCAATTTTGGAAGCTTGGTCATCAAGAATAAAGATTTCTGATTGACTAGGAAGTGAAATGTTGTGGTTATTGTGATGAAACTGACTTAAACAACTCATTTTTTCTGTATCCCTCCTTCTTGCTTACACATATAGGTCTTTATCAAAACTATGCCTAGGGTTCATGCTGTTAACAGGATATTTTGTATATGGTTTTTTTATTCTGTAGCTGCAATGCACCAGCAGTTTGTCGTGACTGTAAGTGGGGAGGGGTGTGTGTGTGGTGGATACTATGTTTTGGAGTAAGTGTAGTTTTGATAGTTGTGCACCAAGACTCCCTCATACATACCTATAAGATTATTTAAACTCTTCCCCAAAAATTACTTTCCATAGATTCGGTATAAATAAAGTCCAGAAATACTCAAATACTAAAGCAGTCTTTTATGCACAAACAAAAGCCCATTACCCTTTTATATACAATGACCTAGACACATTCTTATACCCTTTTTCTTCCTTAATTACATAATTTGTATTATAAAGGATATTTCTGAATTTTAGGGCACACACAGAACATACTGTTTGCATCACCAAATACAAAGATCACAATAAACATGTAGCATAAACATGTGCAGTGCTCTATACAGGCAGACAAACATACTACTGTTTTTTCAGTTTAAATGATCCCTCTTTTAGACTGTTGTACTTGCAGACAGAGTAAATGTTGCATTTTGAAAATGTCCAGTTCTATGCAAACAAATTTGATTCCAATGCTGGCTGACCCCAACATTTAGCATTGTAAATGACACTGTAATTTAAATGCAGAGGAAATGTTTTCATTCATTTAATAAGGAACATGCCTATGTTTCCCCAACATGCTGGTCGATTGCAGGAAGGTGTCCACTTTCCCTTCTCCTCTCAATACTGTTCAACTATAAAAGCCAAAATGCTGACTAAAGGGCTGCTATTTATTTATTTTTTGTAGGCTACTTGACTGTTGTGTCACTGAGTGATTATATTGTCCCGTCCCTTAAAAATCACATTCATTTAATTAAATGTCTCCATCACATTTGAGCCTCAAGAGCAGTTTACTGACATTGTATTTTTTGGGTAGGCTACTTTGTCTCCTCTATAGCCTCAATAAAATATAATGTTATTCAATTTCACCCCAATGAGATCTCTTAATGTTCCTCTGATATCATCCCAGGACAGATGTTTACATTGATATAGCCTATTAAAAAAATAGAATATTATAATTGTAAAGGGTGAAGGGGAAGACAATAAGGTGGAGGGGCTTCGTCGTTGAACCGAAAGGGGCTCGTGTCGATCATTCGTCCCCACCCTTCTCTAAAGAACGTGCTCGTTACTTCACAGTCTTTTTCTTTCTATCAAGCGCGTGCTCGCCAAAGAGAAAGCTGTGTCAAGCCAACGGTAGCCACCAAACCGGAAACACATACACATTTTCCAAAATAAAGCACCTTCATTTAGTTTTTAATCGCTTTTTTTGGTTGAAATTGATATTTTAGACCCTTTGAATACATATATATATATATTTGAATGTATTCTGGCACTACAAAGTCTGGCTATATATTGAGTTTGTCCTCCAAATAAGGGAATAGCTGGAGCATTTGAGACACTGTGTAGCAGTGTGAAGTTGCATTTGTATAAAAATAAATGCACTCGACTGTGTAATCATCCAAAAAATTGACATAAGTGTTAGTTGGAGTTTCATTTTTGTTTTGTTTCTCATGGTGGACATAATTATTCTTTATTTGAGAGGAGAATTATAACAATAGCCTACCTTGTTCCTCATGCCAACTACTTTACATTTTAAGTCATATGAGTTGCTCTATTGGTGAAAACAGGTTACAGGTCGATGTCACAAAAGTAGTAGACTACCTATCAATGTATCGTTTTCTTATGCCATTAAATGCACATACGGTTTTATTTTGAAAGAAAAAAGCGGTCATCTCTATTTAGTTTCGGCGTACTTTACACACTGGCACACGTATTCACAGTCACACACTCTCAAGCACACACATTACTCGCTGCTGGACGGCTGTCAGCGCACAGAAGATGGTGGCGGCTGCGGTCTCTGCGTTGCCCACCGCGCCTGGATAGAAAGCAACCATTCTGCTGCAGCGCACAGATACTGGTCAGATAACGGGGATAAAACAATCTATTATTGCACTGAACGAGCCTGGGAATGGAAAGGCTGGACTATGCAGCAGCCCTGAGCCTTCAGCCCATATTTCTCCTGGAATTTAAGAGGAATTCGTTGGAGGTATGAAGACATTCTCTTGTGTATCCCGTGCAATTCAATTAAAGTGTCTGGATCAAGGCGGCACTCAGCTCTGACCTGTGGGACTCCTGGTGTGGGGGGGGGGGGGGGCTTGGAGCGGAGGTGGATACCTTGTAATTAGCCCCACTCTCTCTGGGCTTTCGTCGTCTGCCTTTTAGGGAGATCGAGCAACGGTGGGCAAAGTTTACTTGAGAGAAAAAGGAGAGACTGGACGATACTTCATGCAGTCTGCTCAAGGCTGATCTCAGGAACCTGCATGTTCACAATAGCCTATCTGGACATTCCGTGGGGCGCACAGTGACGATGAATTGGCTACATTGATTTTATTGTGGGATCCAAGGCATAGCCTACTATCAACGCAGACCCAACACTGTTTCGTGCAAAGCCCTTTACACACGAGTTACTGACAGCTAAGGTCAATTGTAATAAAACAATTTATCGGGATTGTCTGCGCCTCAGGTCTCATGAATGTGTCCTCTGCTCACGATCCCCTTGTTTTGGAGATGCAGCAGTGACGGAGACTTGCGAGGAGAAAGTCAGGAAAGGACGGGGCTCCGTCCGCGGAAATAGTAGCTATTAGGCCCTGCAACAAGGAGAGTGTGTATAAATAAAAACGCTGATTGCAGTTATTGCGCTCACGTACCCTGTAGGCTGCCTGGAGTTTCTCTGCGTCTTTAAATTAAAAGCTATTTTTTCCATCGAGACCGCAAATCACATGTAGAGTCCAATCAAACATTGCGGAGGGTATTTTTTTGGATGAAGTTTTGCTCAAACCTGTAAACAAAACGTGGTTTAATTCCAGGAGGTAGTATCCTCAGTGTAGCTGAGCTGAACGGAAAACGGAGTGGAGAACTGGGATTGGACATGCACTGATAATTAAAAAAGGATATTGATTGCATCAGGCTATTCGAAAAAGTAACTGGATTTGATTTCACACACACGATTTCACAAGAACCATTTAAGCACATTTTCAAGTGGTTGTTTCTTTTTCCCCCCTTACGTAGATTATTTTGTAATTGTCGAGTTTTCCAAAATATTGTTCCAGTGGGTAGGCAGCTGAGTGGATTTGGAAACTAACAGAGCAAGCAGCGAGTTAACTGTGCAGTCTGAAGTGCGTCCAACACACGGGAACTTAGAGGAATGCAGGGATTGACGTCATGAGGGGCAATAATGAACAAGCCAAAACTTGTGTAAGGTCTGCTGGTGTTTCTATAGCCATTACACTGCTTACTGAGTGTAGTTTTCTCTGAGATGTGTTTTACTTTTAAGATTAAACAATCATTGCCTAGTTGTTATACTGCAGCCACATACTAAGCTTTACTTCTTTATCAACTCGATCTGTGAAATAAGTGTCCCTTCTACATAGTCTCTGATTTTTGGATAGATTAAAAAGCACCATGGCATCCCCCCAACATCAACAATTGCTGCCTCGCAACACAGAAGTGAGCTGTGACTCAAGTGGAGATGGAGGCGTCTCCGTTAGGATTGGCAGTAGTGTCAAACACAAGCATGCAGGCGGGCCGCTGGGTTCAATTGGAGGAGGCTTCATGGGGGGATCCAAGCATTGCAAGTACAGCATTTCATCCAGCTGCAGTTCTGGAGAGTCTGGAGTCAAGAGGACAGTGGTTAAGAACTTTCGCTCACAGAAAAAGATGCCTCAGCTTTTTGAGCGATCTGCTGGTCATTTCTGGGACCCTAAGTTTGACTCTTCAATCCTGGAAGAAGCCTGTAGAGAACGATGTTTCCCTCAGACCCGGCGGCGCTTCCGCTATGTGCTGTTTTACCTGGTTGCCGCTGCCCTCCTCTGGGGATTGTATTTTGCTGCAAACCCTTCCCGCTGTGACAGGCTTGCCTTTCTTATTCCCACCGCGTCTTTCCTCCTCTTCTGCCTCATTCTCTTTCTCTTAACTTTCACTAAGCTTTACTCTCGCTGCTACAACCAAGCTTCGCTGCTGCTCATCATTGTAACCTTCACCCTAACCCTGGCCCCCCAGATCCAGACATCAAGTTTCAGGGATACAGAGACTCCAACACCTGCACTTGATATGGAAGAATTCAGTGGCATGGGGCCCAATTACAACCTGTCCTATGATAAGCCTCTAGGAGGTAACTCCTGGTCCCCTTGTATTTCTCCTGTAGGCACCTTCTCCCTCTGTATTGAGGTTCTTCTGTTGCTATACAGTGTTCTCCATGTTCGCCTCTATGCTTCTATCATGCTCGGGTTTCTCTACTCTTTCTTTTTTGAGAGTCTGAGCTGGTTGCATCTGACGCAGGCAGGGGATAACTGGAGCCTAGCCTCTCTGTCAGACTGGGATACATTATGTTGGCTTGGCCCAGCCAAAGCTCTGCTCCACCTCTGTGCCCACGCCATTGGCATCCACCTGTTCATTATGTCCGAGGTACGTTCGCGAAGCACCTTCCTTAAGGTGGGACAAGCTATCATGCATGGCAAAGATCTGGAGGTGGAGAAAGCCTTGAAAGAGCGAATGATCCACTCTGTCATGCCCAGAATCGTTGCTGATGAACTCATGAAGCAGGGTGACGAGGAGATAGGTGACAATTCTGTTAAACGATACTCCACAAGCGGTGCAGCAGCTGTCATCTCTAGCCCTAAAAACAATAAACGCAAGAAAACCTCCATCCCTCGTGGCCAGATCATATTCAGACCCTTTAACATGAAACGGATGGAGCCTGTCAGCATCCTCTTCGCAGACATTGTGGGCTTCACCAAGATGTCGGCCAATAAATCTGCTCATGCCCTTGTTGGGCTTCTAAATGACTTATTCGGGCGTTTTGACCGACTTTGTGAGCTCACTGGCTGTGAAAAAATCAGTACTTTAGGAGACTGTTACTACTGCGTGGCTGGTTGTCCTGAACCCAGACCAGACCATGCTTATTGCTGCGTAGAGATGGGCCTGGGCATGATTCAGGCTATTGAACAGTTCTGCCAGGAGAAGAGGGAGATGGTCAACATGAGAGTGGGTGTCCACACTGGTACTGTGCTCTGTGGTATCCTGGGCATGAAACGCTTCAAGTTTGATGTTTGGTCAAATGACGTCAACCTGGCCAACCTAATGGAGCAGTTGGGAGTGGCTGGGAAGGTCCACCTATCACAGGCCACTGCCAACTTCCTGGATGACCGCTACCAGCATCAAGATGGACAAGTCATTGAGAGAATAGGACACAGTGTTGTGGCTGACCAGCTCAAAGGTAGGTGCTCTTGTGAAAATATTGCCTTAAATTACCCTGCATATCAGAGATGTACTAAGTTCAGTACATTTAGCTGTTTTGCTTTTATCTTTTAGATTTATTTGAGCTAACAGTATGAAAAGAGCAAACTTTCTTTGTTGAATTCCTATCAAGGATAATACAACTCAAAGGTCAGCAGCAGTTGCTACAAATTGGCTAAAACAGTGAGACTTAAGGCTGCATGTATTCCCCCATCAGCTCACAAACCTTTCCCTGCATTTTAGGGAGCTTCAGTTAAAGGTAGGGTCGGTAAGTTTGAGAAACCGGCTCGAGATCGCTAGAATTTGAAAATACACAACCGGAGAAAATCTGCCACTTCCTTATAGAGCCCCGGCAGTTATTTTAGCCGGGCCGGCTAAAATGATTGGTCGTACTTTTTACAGTACTACGGCTTCCACAGATGAAATTATTTTATGGATTTTTTGTCAAAGCACTTAAGATATTCATTGCTATCGGGATGTTAAGAGCATTCCATGGAATATAACAAAAAGTGTATCTCGAGCCGGTTTCTCAAACTTACCTACCCCACCTTTAACATCCTGTAGTGCCTCTTTACCACCCCTGGAGATAATGTGTCTACCTATGCCAGCATATCTGCAGTTCACCCCCCAAGTGGATCAGAACAGTGGCAAGGGAGCTTTTGCATGGATAGTCAAGGTCGACACTTGGTAATAGCATCATGTACCCGGCACAGATGGTCTGGCAAGGATTTGAGTCTAACACAAGTGCCCTCTGTGGTGTGAGTATTATGTGACTGTATCATCGACAGACTCCATCTTTCTTCCACACCACCCTGTCTCTGTTCTGTTCTCCTGTTCAATTACATTGCCTTCCAGACATCCTCGATGTGTCCTGTTGTCCTAACCTCGCTCTGAACTCCAGGAAATGCTTTACAACTTAATGTAACTGTTGCCTCCTCTAATAGAGAGTTTCCTGCAGCTGTATTTTCAGCTCTAACATCTATTCTTTTTTCCTTGTCTCTAAACTGCTTGACTGCAGCTTTTATTTGATACATTTATGCAAATCGCCCCAAAGTAACTGAATGTTGGCCTTATGGCTCTTTTCATCATGCAATGCTTGCTGATCCATTATCACCTAGTAGAAGTAAAAGTGACTGTGTCTGAATATGGACGCGCAGATGGTGTGCATCTGCTATTTTGAATTAGCATTTCAGTTCATATATCACATTTGTTCCTTGGAGGTTGGAGGCTGCATGTCTGATTTTGCCCAGTGCAAATCAGGCTCAAGTCATTATGAACTGAAATTCACTCAAGATACCAATTTAGATGTACAGATTTATACTTTATGCACATAAACTTCTAACATTTTCCCTGAAAACCTGTGCCATGACTTGTCAAGGAAAAAGATGGAGCGGAGGGGCCTTTTGTTTACTAGCCAGCAGGAGTGATTAATGGGCCTGCATTTCCCCCTCATCTGTTAGATTAATGAGAGACTAGCACTCTTGCTCTTGTCTACTTTTTTATGCGTGAAGATAAATGTGTTACTCGCATTGTTATCACCTCACCTCGCCTCCCCCTTCTTCTACTCTTTCTCCTAGACTCCTTTCTTGCCTCAATCATGTATTGAGTTCCCTCCTAAGATTTATCCTTTCCCTCTAGATATGCTCTACCAGTGAGAGTGTTGGCTGTCAGGAGAGAGTTGTGCTCCAGTGTTGTAAAAATCCCTGTCTGGCGCAGTCTGTGTTAATCACTTGGTACCATTGAAGCCAGGCATGGATCCTGGCTGGGGCTGGTCCCTGTTGCCTCACTCAAATTGCTTTGACCCAGCCACTGATTGTTGTGCGGCTGTCTTGTATTTTGTATGAGTAATTGTGATAATTCACCTTTCACAGTTGAACTATAACCTCAGATTGAGGCTATATACTCAGTTGTTTGTGTAACCCTGTTGGCGCACATGTTTAAAAGTTTATAATTCCTTATTTCTTATTTACAGCCTCCCAGTGTAAATATATGCTATTCGTGGCTGACTGTAGCAGGGGTTTACTTGCGGTTCAGCCACGTCTGGTCAGTAAGGTGTTGCAGCTGCATCCTGTTCGCTCCCGAGGACTGATCCGGGGTCTGTGGTTTTAGTAACAAATGGAGATGTTGTGGCTTGTTTTACATCCAGCTGAGTGATAGCTGGTGTTTTAGGTTAAGTAAATCCCTTTGTCGACATGTCAGATTATTTTGAGGGCTCTAACTAATGTTTATTTTCATCAACAATTAATTTTAATTGGTTATATTTGTATTCATATATTAATTGCTTAGTCTATATACAGTAATGTCAGATAACAGTGCCTAGTAGTTTCTCAAAGCTGATGTTGTTAATGGTATAGGAAAACAACGAAACAATGCTTTTTGTAAGCTAGAACCAAAGGAATATTTGGCGTTTTTGCTTGATAGATCATTTTAAAGATGGCATACAAAATATACGCAACTGTTTCTTTCCTTGACGGTAAATCTGCTGAATAAAATAAATGGTTGGTTGTAGCCCCTCCTAAACTACAACACAGCTGGTTTAAAGGATACACTGGGATTATCTGAATAAGCCCTTCTGTGCACAGCTCTTTATGTGTATCTATAAGGTGCTGCACATGCTGTTTCCTTACTGGAAATGGGAGCTATATTTGGATCCATTTCCCTGGAAAGTTCCTGTTTATGTCCTTCCTTTTGTGCGTAATTCAGAATGATTGCACATTCGGAGGAGACTCTGAGCGTGGCCCTATTATCTGTCTGCTGCTGACAGTATCACCACAGAGCCAGAGATGGTTCAAGCTGCATCTGTTTCCAGGGAAAATTAAATTGTTTGTATGCTCATGTTGCCTAAGGGATGTGTGTGTTACAATTACATGAGAGACAATTGTATTATAAGAGTCATTAGCAATTATTGTTTTAATTCGTTACATTACAGTGGAAGTACAGTCTTACAACAGCTGCTTCTGTGTCTCGACTTCCATGCTAAGATCGGCTTTATTTTATATAATAAATTGTATTGAATGAAAATGTGAAAGAAAATCTTGTAGTGACTGCAGAGAATTTTAAACTGAATCTGCAGCTCCTTGTGGCTTTATAGACCTTTATAGTTAGTTTTATCCGCCATCCCCAACATTACTGTTTTGGTTCACTTTCACATCTCTCACAGTCTAGTTTTTGGCCGCTACAGGCAGCTGCCTTCAGGGAAAAAGTAACAAAAAACACTGTACACTACCTACTCACCAAACAGCAGGCCCTGTTAGTTGGTGGCTGGTAAACACAGAGGGACAAAGGGCAGTTTAAAAGTCAGATATTTCCCTCTGGTGTTGCAGATCTAAAAGAGAGAGAATATTTAATCCACATCTCCACATGAATGCAAATGCTGCTCCGTCATTGCGGAGGGAAAATATGTCATTGTCACATCACTGCCATGAGTATGCAAACAAAATCAGTTGTGCAGGTTTAAAAAAGTATCTTCATGATTTGTAAGTCTTCCTGTTTATGCATCTTCCTCTTCTCTCCTGCTGTGAATCTTCCAGGCTGTTGCTGTAAAGGTCCTTACACACCAAGCCGATTTCGGCATCGATAGATGTCGGGCCGTCGATGAGCGCCCTACTCAGATTGGTGTGTCTTGGTGTGTACTGCACCATCGTGTCTTTTCGGCCGTGCCGACACCTTCCGCCGCCGATTCAACATGTTGAATCGGGAGGCTGTCGGCCAAAGAAATCACTCTGATTGGCTGTTCAGCTTAGCGAATCAGTGCATGAGAAGCGAAACGGAAGTGAGGGACCCAAACAAACTATTAAGAAGGCAAATCTGAGATTTCATTTAACTCCAGCTCTCGACAGGTTCGGGAAAGCCCCATGAGCTTCTCGTTGTAGAGTGAAAATGGAACGCACACGCTATTTGTTGTTTGTTTATATCACGCAGTCTGTTCTTCTTCTCTCGGTGTACCTGGTGGTGAATATGGCCGTAATATTTCACGGTTTTGGTCAGGAGAGCCATTTGTGCTTTTGGGAGACTCGCATGCACACTAACATATCCCTTCCTTTACCACGGGAATGCTAATTCAACAGTATTGGCCTGAGTATTGGAGTATTGGCCTGAGGCATCTATAATAGAGGCTATCTATGACCTTCAAAAACGATCAATTAGGCATTTTGTTGTAACAGTTAAAGATCTAGGGATGAAGAAATGAAACCACGACAGAACTAGACAGAAGTAGGAAGGAGGGAAGTAGATGAACTGCCCTTAACTGTGGTCCTGTTTTGTCGTCTGAGACTCGGTTTATGTCCAATGGGTGGTGGCACTAAAAAGTAGCACTGCAGCATCTTTCCTAAACCACCATTACATTAAGCCTCCATGTAACTGGACCTCATCGTTGAGCTCAAGTGTGAACCCTACGCAGAAAAAAGGAGGTGGTGTACATTTAAGCCTCAGGATTTCACACCAAAATTGCTGTGTGTGAGTGTGTGTTGGCATGCTGTCAGTCTACACACTGCTGTACTTGACAAAAGTTAAACGGTTTGGCTTTTTCACCCTAATATATACACAGCTGTCTTCTCACTCTGCCAAAAAAATCCAAAACCTGGCATAATTTTTTGTCTGGACTCTTGAGTCCAAATCAGTATGCACACACAGCATTTAGCTCTATTGTAGAGAGACAGAGGGAGTCGATGGTGAAGTGGAGTGGCTTACTACAAGGAGGGGGTAAGGAGGGGCATACATAGAGCAAGAGTATGCTTGGCTGTGGAGGCAGCTGTTGGGATGATTTATGAAACCAATGGTAAATAGATCATGGGATTACTATTACACAGCATACTGCGTTCTCTAGGTGCCCTTTCAACTGAAGTCTGAGAGGGGAACGTTGCTCTTCAGAGGCCACAAGGGGCAAAGACTGCCAGGGGGACTCTAAGCTGCTATATTATATTACAGTCACCGGGTCCTGCCTAAAACACCTTGGCTCTGCATGGTAAAGTACAGCTCTGT